CCACTTTCCTGCCCCCCCCCCCCCCCAGCGCCGCTACTGATTAGCCTAATTCGTACTTATATTTTTCATTCTTGTTTTCTTCTGAAACCGTTCAAATTGGTCTATAGGCTAGGTATTGTGTTTATTGTTTGTACATTATAACATTTCGCTTTATTTAACGGTGTTATTTATGAATGTAATAATGTGGTTTCTGCTTATCTGTGTTTAACCTAAACTACAACGTAACATTAACGTAGACCTACATACCGGCATCTAAATATGACTGCTTCCACTGCATGTAGAATGAGCAGCAATAAACTACATTTTGGCATTTTATAATACTTCTGTGGATATTTTGGTGAAAGTAACTCAAAAGTAGTGTAACGCATTACAATTCAGAGACCGTAATATTGTAATGTAACTAATTACTTTCAAAAGACAGTAACTAGTCATATATAATGTATTACATTTTGGAAGTAACTTGCCCAACACTGCTAGTGAATGAGTGAACGAGTGAGAGATTTCGGACACAGCTTGTGACTGGTCTTGCTGGTGTTAATGGTGTGTGTTTGTGTGTCCAGCAGGTGTGGGATCAGTCATCGGTGTAAGAGTCATCAGTCAAGAACATCAGATCTCGTCCGGATGAGGAAACTCTCAGCACAACGTCTCGCTCACAAGGCCTTACAAACACAGACGATCACGCACAGATCCGGCCAGCGTTTACTAAACCTCACACACACACACACACACTCTCTCTCGCTCTCTCTCTCTCTCTCTCACACACACGCTCACTCTCTCTCTCTCTCTCTCTCTCTCTCTCTCTCACACACTCTCCCTCTCTCTCTCTCTCTCGCTCTCTCTCTCTCTCACACACACGCTCACTCGCTCTCTCTCTCTCTCTCTCACACGCACTCTCTCTCTCTCTCACACACGCGCTCTCTCTCTCTCTCTCGCTCTCTCTCTCGCTCTCACACACATGCACACTCTCTCTCCCTCTCTCTCTCTCTCTCTCTCGCTCTCTCTCTCGCTCTCACACACATGCACACTCTCTCTCCCTCTCTCTCTCTCTCTCTCTCGCTCTCTCTCTCGCTCTCACACACATGCACACTCTCTCTCCCTCTCTCTCTCTCTCTCTCTCGCTCTCTCTCTCGCTCTCACACACATGCACACTCTCTCTCCCTCTCTCTCTCTCTCTCTCTCGCTCTCTCTCTCGCTCTCACACACATGCACACTCTCTCTCCCTCTCTCTCTCTCTCTCTCTCGCTCTCTCTCTCGCTCTCACACACATGCACACTCTCTCTCCCTCTCTCTCTCTCTCTCTCTCGCTCTCTCTCTCGCTCTCACACACATGCACACTCTCTCTCCCTCTCTCTCTCTCTCTCTCTCGCTCTCTCTCTCTCTCTCTCTCTCTCTCTCTCACACACTCTCTCTCTCTCTCTCTCTCTCTCTCACACACACACTTTGTACTTTCCTCTGTCTCCTCTCCTCTTCCCACAATCCCCGGCGACAGCGTAGCGTCCGTCTCGACAGAAAAGGACTCTTTGTAAACCTCCAGAATGTCACGTTAACCTTGTAATTACGTCCACGTGATGTTTTTTATAAGAACCGAATAACGAGGCGGGTCTATTTTTGTTAACCAAAAAAAATAACGAATGCGAGAAACTTGTTTAAATCGTCCGAAACTGCTTCAAAGTGGCAGATTTTGCTTGAATCAAGCTGGCACTCTCCAGCTCCGGCAGCACTAAACGTGTTCGGTGTGGCTTTGGGAGCTTTACTTCTCTGAATGATGAGCTCAGGATCTGAATGTATCAGTACTAAAGGAATCGCTCTGGGTTCTCTCTCTCTCTGCCACAGCGATCGTTTCACCTCATCCGTCTCGTTCTGCCGCATGAGACGCTGTGATGGGTTTGTTCTGTTCCTGCTTCTCATTTCCGTTCACTAAATTCGCGCTGATGTTTAACCAGAGATGTAGCCTTTCTTGTTTTCTCAGTTTTTATGATCATGGTATGATAGCATTATCTATAGCCACTAATAAACTAAAGTTTATCTTTATCTGAGCCTCTGCGTCTGAGTTTTTCTGTACTTTTATAATCTTTTTTTTTTTTCTCGGGTGAAACTGAATATTTAATGAGAATAAATGTGGGACAAGATGATTTCTGAAGTGGAGCGAGTTATGTTTTGATGAAAGATTGAGGATGAACTTTGAAATGGATTGAATCATGAGACCAAAAGCGTTTAAGTCAGTTTTGATTTTATGTTGTATTGTATTTTTCAGACATTCCTCTTTAAAAGAAATGAAGTATCATATTAATGCACAGTGATCCACATTTGGTTTTTGACCGCTTAAAATGTGTGCAATTTAACAATTTACTCCTGGAGCCATGTTTAGGTATCTCTGGAACCGAACCATACACAGGGCCTTGAAAAATGAAGATGGGCGTTAAGATATCTTCAATACTTGAAATACAGGCATGCAAACTTTGGAGAAAAAACTCTCTCATGGTCACCATTTGTGTATAATGTAACGAAGATTGCTGAAGTCAACAGATTTTACTAATAGACCTGCTGATCTCTGTGTAAAATTAATATAATGATGCTGCCGCCATCTTTCGGAAGTCATTTTTAACCCTCTGTAGTTTGGCTCTGAATCTCAGGTTAAAAAATTGCCTCTTTTTTGGTTCAGTGTTATAGTTGTTACTAATATTTTGTATTAACTTTTATTTTTATATATTCCATTATTATTTTAAGTCAAGTTAAAGTTTTAGTAGTTTTTGATTATTATTAATTTAGTTAACTTAATAAATTAGTTTTTTATTTTAATTTTCAAGCCAATTGCCAAAGCAAGTTTTTTAACATTTTAATTCAGTTAACATTTATTTCAAGTAACTTTTCTCCCCCGAATCTTTTAGTTTAATGACAATAACCCTGATTTGCTTTAAACATCGGCAGATTGAAGTGTAAATTTAGCAGGTTCTGAGAAATGCTTCCTCGTTTATTTACAAAATATATTTTTGTGGTAATTTATAGATCTGCCACACATGGAAAGTTGATTGATAACACTGTAGTTAAGTCACATAATTACATGTTTGCATAGAATAAATGTGTCCCTGCAGCACAAAAGCAGTGTTAAGGCGCTGGGGGATATTTGTAGCAATAGCCAACAATACATTGTATGGCTCAAAATTATACATTTCTCTTTTATGCCAAAAATCATTAGGATATTAAGTAAAGATCATGTTCCATGAAGATATTTTGTAAGTTTCCTACCGTAAATATATCAAAACTTAATGTTTGATTAGTAATATGCATTGCTAAGAACTTCATTTGAACAACTTTAAAGATGATTTTCTCAATATTTAGATTTTTTTGCACCCTCAGATTCCAGATTTTCAAATATTGTCCGATCCTAACAAACCATACATCAATGGAAAGCTTATTTATTCAACTTTCAGATGATGCATAAATCTCATCGGTAGATTGAAGTGTAAATTTAGCAGGTTCTGAGAAATGCTTCCTCGTTTATTTACAAAATATATTTTTGTGGTAATTTATAGATCTGCCACACATGGAAAGTTGATTGATAACACTGTAGTTAAGTCACATAATTACATGTTTGCATAGAATAATTGTGTCCCTGCAGCACAAAAGCAGTGTTAAGTCGCTGGGGGATATTTGTAGCAATAGCCAACAATACATTGTATGGGTCACAATTATACATTTCTCTTTTATGCCAAAAATCATTAGGATATTAAGTAAAGATCATGTTCCATGAAGATATTTTGTAAGTTTCCTACCGTAAATATATCAAAACTTAATGTTTGATTAGTAATATGCATTGCTAAGAACTTCATTTGAACAACTTTAAAGATGATTTTCTCAATATTTAGATTTTTTTGCACCCTCAGATTCCAGATTTTCAAATATTGTCCGATCCTAACAAACCATACATCAATGGAAAGATGATTTATTCAACTTTCAGATGATGCATACATCTCAATTTTGAAAAATGTATCCTTATGACTGGTTTTGTGCTCCAGGGTCATAATAATATTTCACAATATTAAATTTGTTCCTGTATTTTTGATCAAATAAATGCAGCCTTGATGAGCAGAAGAAACTCCTGTAAAAAAATATTATAAATTGTTCTAATCCCAAACTTTTGACCGGTAGTGCATATATATATATATATGTAAGGAATAATTGACGACGGGCTGTTGAATTAGAAAAATAATGTACACCCGAGGTGGTGATGCATTATTTTCCTAATAATTCAACGGCCCGGAGTCAATTATTCCACTTATACTACGGTTACCACACCTCAAGCCATCAATCAGATGTTATATTTAAAGGGATTGGTCCAGTTTTTGTACTTAAATCGCTATTGTGAGCAGGATTATTTCTTCCGCAGCTCATCCAACGCCTCTTTTGCTAGTTCCAAAACGTGATTTTAAAGCTGGTAATGGAGGCTTGAGCCGTTGATAGCATTCTAATGCAGTTATTAATAAAGTTATTAGACAGAGCGAGAGAGAGTTTGTGTGAATTAGGCTAGCTCTGTGCATCCCTCATTACCTCGCTAGTGAGAAATGTCATGTGGAGCCTTTAAGTTTCTACACTATATAGGCTAACTGATCAAATCGTCAGGGCAGCGCTGACAACACCTTTTTGTGCAAACTGCGTGACCGTAGTGTGCGTGTGTGCGAGCGCGTGTGATTGCAGTAATTCCTGTGTGCTGTATAGGTACTATTAAACAGCTTTACACCAACTAAACTGGATTGGCACCAGAAGCTCTAGTGTGAACACAAGCATCAAGTGGTTTGGATTCAGAGCTGCGATGGAGGAAAGGATCATGAGAAAACAACAATGAAGAGGAAGAAGAGGAGAGTCTCACCAGGCCTCTTCCACCGGCTCTCTGCCGCTGCAGCAGAACGAGAGAGAATCAGAGACAAACTCACACTCATTTTAAAATTCATAGTTTGTGTATGAATATATATTATATTGAAGTTCAACAACAGAAGAAAACAAAACTTGTTTGAAATGTAGAAATTAATATCATTTGCAGGTTTTTATTACATTTTTTTAGCATTTTAATTCAGATAATTGTAATACATAAAATTTTAATAAATAATTAAATTCAGATTATTTAATTCTATATTAAATTAAAAAAAATTGTGAAACAACAAAAAATGAGGGGGGGGGGTGGTAAAGTAGAAATATTTAAGGTTTTTTTACAACATTTTTTTTAGCATTTTAATTATAAATATATAACATTTTTTATATATTATAAGGATTAGAAATCCTTAAATATAATTAAATGAATATATTTTAAAATAAGAATATTTTATCATATCTTAGCGTATTAAATCAATAAACCACAATCAATTTTGTGATTCCAGAAGTTTTCAAGAACTATATTTTCTTAAATAAAAACAAAAGCTGTTGATGGGGAAATAATTAAATTTGAAATATCATTAAAAAAAAATATTTTAGCATTTTAATTATAAATATATAACATTTTTTATATATTATAAGGATTAGAAATCCTTAAATATAATTAAATGAATATATTTTAAAATAAGAATATTTTATCATATCTTAGCGTATTAAATCAATAAACCACAATCAATTTTGTGATTCCAGAAGTTTTCAAGAACTATATTTTCTTAAATAAAAACAAAAGCTGTTGATGGGGAAATAATTAAATTTGAAATATCATTAAAAAAAAATATTTTAGCATTTTAATTTACTTAAGATTATTTTAATACATAAAACATTAATAAATCATTCAATCCAAATAAATAGTGCACTTCATGGAAAGAGCACGAGACTCGAGATGGTTTCCAAAACTGCTTCTAAGCTGCTTCTCAGTGTTAAATGTTGCTCGACCTGATGTTTAAAAGGCATTAAGTGTGGAGTGAAAAGCTTAAAGGAATATTCCGGGTTCAGTACGAAGTTCAGCTCAATCCACAGCAATTGTACCATAATGTTGATTATCACAAAAAAAAAAAGTATTTGTCCTTTCGCTGTAAAGCATATTGTTTATACTCACACTCACACAGACACACTCACTCACACAGTTTGCAAAGATTCATAAAAGAACCTTATACTAACTTCTTCTGTAGATGAAGCTGGATCACGAATGATTCGCGCGAACATAGACGCAATTAGACAGATCGGCGCATTCCCTTCAAAAACTAAAGTATGTTTAATCCTCTGCGTCTTCAGCGGCTCAGATGTCGGGAGTAAATGACGACTGCTATGTTCATTATTACATCCAGCAACAAAACACCTCAATGTGTGAGATGTTCTTGTCTTCCCCTGCACTGGAGTCGACACAATGGCGGACTGATGACAGCTCACTCAGGGCGGAGCTAAGGTAAGACGGACCTGTCAATCAACTATCGTGGGAGGGGCCTGTGCAGAACTACGTCATTCTGACAGGACTCTCAGAACAGCCTGATTTGAGAAAGGGGATT